AGTAGAGACGGGGTTTCACCATGTTGACCAGGATGGTCTCGATCTCTTGACCTTGTGATCCACCCGCCTCGGCCTCCCAAAGTGCTGGGATTACAGGCTTGAGCCACCACGCCCGGCTTCCTTTTTCTTTTTTTGAGATGGAGTTTTGCTCTTAGTGCCCAGGCTGGAGTGCCATGGTGTGATCTCAGCTCATTGCAACCTCTGCCTCCCAGGTTCAAGTGATTCTCCTGCCTCAGCCTCCTGAGTAGCTGGGATTACAGATGCCTGACACCACACCTGGCTAATTTAGCATTTTTAGTGGAGATGGCGTTTCACCATATTGGCCAGGCTAGTCTTGAACTCCTGACCTCAGGTGATCCACCTGCCTTGACCTCCCAAAGTGCTGGGATTGCAGGCATGAGCTACTGTGTCGGGCTGAGATGCTGAGTCTTCATGCTGCTGCTGCTGTCATCGTCATGGTCATGTTTTCCATGCAGGGACATTCAGGAGACCCAAATGAAGTATCTCTCCGAGTGGGACCAATGGAAGCGGTATAGCAGCAAGTCTTGGAAGAGGTTCCTAGAGAAGGCGCGAGAGATGACGACCCACCTGGAGCTGTGGCGGGAGGACATTCGAAGCATTGAAGGTACTGCACCCCAGCATCTGTGCCCAGTCTCGTCTGCAGGAGTCTCTGTGTCTGGGGGGCAAGTTCAGCTTAGTTTCCACTAGGGCCTAAGTGAAATTGAGCATTTCCTTCCATGATGAATGTGAGCAACAAACCACAGCTAGGTTTAGTAGAACCTGTGCCTTTGTAACCAGGAAAAAATTGTGATATTTTCCTGTCCCTTCTGGTTGTTGTATTTATTAAGTCCCATGACTGCTTGGAAATTTCGGTCGTTATTAGACCTGCCACTAGATCTTGTTATTTTATTTTATTTTATTTTTTGAGACAGAGTCTCGCTTTTCCGCCAGGTGCCAGGCTGGAGTGCAGTGGTGCAATCTCGGCTCACTGCAACCTCCACAACCCGGCTTCAAGCAATTCTCCTGCCTTAGCCTCCTGAGTAGCTGGGACTACAGGCATGCGCTACCACGCCCAGATAATTTTTGTATTTTAGTAGAGCCAGGGTTTCACTATGTTGGCCAGGACGATCTCGATCTCTTGACCTTGTTATCTGCCTGCCTTGGCCTTCCAAAGTGCTGGGATTACAGGCGTGAGCCACCACGCCCGGCCAGATCTTATTATTTACTGTGCTAGTAAAGACCAGGCACAGTGGCTTACTCCTGTAATCCCAGCACTTTGGGAGGCTGAATTGGGTGGATCACAAGGTCAGGAGTTCGAGACCAGCCTGGCAAACATGGTGAAATCCCATCTCTACTAAAAATACAAAAATTAGCTGGGCATGGTAGTGCATGCCTGTAATCCTGGCTGTTTGGGAGACTGAGGCATGAGAATCACTTGAACCTGGGAGGAGGACATTGCAGTGAGCCGAGGAGCCAAGACTGCACTACTGCACTCCAGCTTGGGTGAGAGAGCAAGCCTCTGTCTCAAAAAAAAGTGCCAGTAAAGATGTTCACAGATGTTCACATATGTCTTTCTATCACACATACGTTTTTTAATAATATGGTAACTGGACCAGGTGCCGTGGCTGCTACCTATAATCCCAGCACTTTGGGAGGCTAAGGTGGGTGGATCACCTGAAGTCGGGAGTTCAAGAGCAGCCTGACCGACATGGAGAAACCCTGTCTCTATTAAAAAGACAAAATTAGCTGGGTGTGGTGGTGCATGCCTGTAATCTCAGCTACTAGGGAGGCTGAGGCAGGAAAATCACTTGAACCCCAGGGGTAGAGGTTGCAGTGAGCAGAGATCACACCATTGCTCTCCAAAAAAAAGAAAAGATAACTGTATGTCTGTTTTTATTTTATGCATTTAAATTAAATATATAAAATAGTATTATTTTAAAATATTATTTAATTGTAATATTTTAATATTATTAAAATACTGTTTTATGCTTTTGAAATATTATGCATAAGTATATTATTTGTAAAATGTTATGCTTTTAATTTCAATGCATAAAATAAAAACAGACATACAATTACCATATTATTAAAAGCATTATCCCAGCCAGGCAGCGGTTCATGCCTGTAATTTCAGCATTTTGGGTGACTGAGGAAGGAAGATCATTTGAGCCCAGGAGTTTGAGACCAGCCTGGGTAACAAAGACCTTGCCTCTACAAAAAAAGTTTTAAAAACTAGCTGGTTGTGGTGGTATAGACCCATAGTCCCAGCTTCTGGGGAAGCTTAGGCAGGAGGAACGCCTGAGCCCAGAAGTTTGAGGCTACAGTAAGCTGTGATTGTGCCACTGCACTCCAGCCTGGGCAACAGAGAAGACCCTGTCTCAAAACAAAAAAAAAAATGAATAAACAAACAAAAAGACTTCTTATCCTGAGACGAGGCTCATCACCTTTATTTTATTTTATTTATTTATTTTTGAGATGGAATCTTGCTCTGTAGCCCAGGCTGGAGTGCGTTGGCACAATCCCAGCTCACCGCAACCTCTGCCTACTGGGTCCCAGTTCAAGCAACTCTCCTATATCAGCCTCCCAAGTAGCTGGGATTACAGGCACGAGCCACCACGCCCAGCTAATTTTTGTATTTTTTAGTAGAGACGAGGTTTCACCATGTTGGCCAGTCTGGTCTTGAACTCCTGACCTCATGATCTCCTGCCTCAGCCTCCCAAAGTGCTGGGATTACAGACATGGAGGCTTATCACTTTTACCAAACTACAAAGAGTTCTCATGGCCCTGAAAATACTGTGAACCCCTACTTTCCTATAATGGTAAGAATTTGGGATTATGGATTGTTATTAGTTGGCTGGACTGCCATAACAATATACCGCAGACTGGATGGCTTAAAAAACAGCTACTGCCGGGCGCGGTGGCTCACGCCTGTAATCCCAGCACTTTGGGAGGCCGAGGCGGGTGGATCACGAGGTCAAGAGATCGAGACCATCCTGGTCAACATGGTGAAACCCCGTCTCTACTAAAAATACAAAAAATTAGCTGGGCATGGTGGCGTGTGCCTATAATCCCAGCTACTCAGGAGGCTGAGGCAGGAGAATTGCCTGAACCCAGGAGGCGGAGGTTGCGGTGAGCCGAGATTGCGCCATTGCACTCCAGCCTGGGCTACAAGAGCAAAACTCCGACTCAAAAAAAAAAACAAAAAAACAAAAAAACAGCTACTATTTTTCTCATGGTTTTGGAGGCTTGAGCAAGCCTTCTTGCTGTGTGTTCACATAACGTTTGCTTTGAGTGTGCTCTGATAAAGACTGCAAACTCTCTGGTGTCTCTTTTTATAATGACAGTAATCCGATCATGGGGCTCCACTCTCAAGACCTCAGTAAAACCTAATCACTTCCCAAAAGCTCATCTCCAAATACCATTATATTGGGGTTGGGGCTTCACCATATGAATTTTAGGGTGAGGACGCAATTTGGTCCTTAGCAAGTATGCAAAAATTGGAATTTGTGCCAAAATACAAAATTAGCCAGGCATGGTGGCTCATGCCTGCTGTCATCCTAGCACTTTGGGAGGCTGAAGCAGGAGGATCCGTTGAGCTCAGGAGTTCGAGACCAGCCTGGGCAACATAATAAGATCCTGTTTCTATTTAATCTAAAAATAAAAATGCAAATAAAAAAATACAAAATTCTCACTCATAGGTGGGTGTTGAACAACGAGAACACATGGACACGGGGAGGGGAGCATCACACACTGGGGTCTGTTGGGGGGAAATAGGGGAGGGACAGCGGGGGTGGGGAGTTGGGGAGAGTTAGCATGGGGAGAAATGCCAGATATAGGTGATGGGAGGGAGGCAGCAAATCCCACTGACACGTGTGTACCTATGCAACAATCTTGCATGTTCTTCACATGTACCCAAAACCTAAAATGTAATTTAAAAAAATACAAAATTAGAAACATTAAACTTTTTTTTGGTATCGTCTATTTTATTTTATTTTTTGAGATGAAGTTTCACTCTTGTTACCCAGGCCGGAGTGCAATGGCACGGTCTCAGCTCACTGCAACCTCCACCTCCCAGGTTCAAGCGATTTTCCCACCTCAGCTTCCCAAGCAGCTGGGATCACGGGTGTGTGCCACACTCCCAGCTTATTTTTGTATTTTTAGTAGAGACGGGGTTTCACCATGTTTGCCAGGCTGGTCTTGAATTCCTGACCTCAGGTGATCTGCCTACCTTGGCCTCCCAAAGTGCTAGGATTACAGGTGTGAGCCACCGCATCTGGCCAGGATTATCTATTATAAAGCAAAACATTTTTTAAACATCCCCCCAAAACTGCTAATGTGAAAATTTGTGAAGTTTGTAAGGAATATGGTGGGATAAAGGAAATGGTTGTCTCCATTATTACTATTTTAAGACCTGTAAAATACGATTGGTAATTTATCCAATGAACTACCTTTTTATTGTTGTTTTATTTGGAGAATGGAACATATTTCTTTCTTTCTTTCTCTCTTTCTTTCCTTTTTTGACGGAATTTCACTCTTGTTGCCCAGGCTGGAGTGCAATGGCGGGATCTCAGCTCACCACCATCTCTGCCTCCCAGGTTCAAGCCATTCTTCTGTCTCAGCCTCTCTAGTAGCTGGTATTACAGGCACCCGCCACTGCACCCAGCTCAATTTTTGTATTTTTAGTAGAGACTGGGTTTCACTGTGTTGGCCAGGCTAGTCTTGAACTCCTG